GTGTGTATATGTGTGTGTATGTGTGTGTGTGTGTGTGTTTACTTTTATGTATTGACATATGTCACCATGTATACAATATATTTTTACTGTTTATCAGAATGGTATTTTTTTTTTACCATTACAATAAAATTATATATTTTATTTGTTTATTAATTTATTCATTTATGTATGAATTAATAAATAAATGAATATATTAAATGAGTTAATAAATGAACAAATATTTATTAGGGTATATTTTATGAAGAAAAATAATATGAAAAAGGTAACTGTTGAAATGTTTGGCTATATTTAAAGGGAAAGAAAGATTGAAAAAGGAAAAAAAAAGAAGAATAGATCGATTACTAATATCAATAAGGCAAAAAGCAATGGGTAATATACATTTGAAAGGCCGGAAAATGCTAAAAATCGATTCCAGGAACCGGTAATGGCTAAGTGACAAGGAAGTTGAGTAGTTTGATGACAGCTTGAACATTATCATTTGACAAATGCTTTTAATTGCCTACTTCATTTAAACATCAATCTTAAACATTACGCTTTAAAAAAATTGATTATTATTATTATTATCATTATTATTATTATTATTTGCACAAATATTATTATGACCATCATCGCTATTGCTACTCCTACTATTACTAATACCAAGACTACTACTATTACTTATTATTACTACCATTACTTCTACTACAACAACAGTAACAACAACAGTAACAATAGCAACAACAACAACTACTACTACTACTACTGTTAGTATTATGCTATTGGGACTATTATTATTATTAATAATGCTATCACCGATCATTATTGTTATCACTGTTAATACTATTAATATTCATATTATCAAATCTGTTAGGGATTGTATGAAATATAAGCATTACGATAACAATAAATATCAACAATAAGGATTAGCAACAACAACAACAACAATAACAACAGTAAAATAAGTCAGTAAGTAACATGAATAATAAGATTAATCGCAATAATAGTCATACTTATTACAATAATAGTAGCGCCGTAAATAACAGCATTTAAAAAGGCATATAAATATTAATTAATTGTTGTTACTCTCTTTTTCATCTCAAAATGATAATTTCATCAATTTAAAATGATACTTCTAAAAGCAATCTTATAATAAAAGCATTCAGTAAGATCAATTGATAATGACCAAACGTAAGCATTAAAATATATCAGTAATTATTGGAAGGTATCGAAAATTTATTTATTAGCAATAAAATACAAAGAATGTAACTAATTAATTGCAATCCTTTCCTTTTTGACATTTCAACAAATCCTTTCATGATAGTAGAGTTAAGTAAATAATAAAACAGTCAAAAATATTAAATAAATTATACAGTGATTTCATTAATTATATTTGAAAATTGGTGAAAAAAGAGCAAAACTAAAAATAATAAATAATACCGTGGAATTTTTAAATTTCCTATATATGAATAATGTAAATTGAGAAATCGGAATCAGAAAAAATAACATAAATTTATTGCTTTATGATGTTAAGAAGTTTATCAGATGCATATATGTAATAATATAAAAAAGTAAACACACACATATACACATACACCCACACACACACATACATACATACATACATACATACATA